TTCTGTGTCCTAGTCTGTAAAACGGAGAAATTGAAGTTTTGCTCCATCTGCTCTCGGGGCTGCCGGGCAGATCCTAAAGGCCAGGGTTAATCAGGGAACTGGAACGTGGGTACCAAGGAAAAACGCCATATACGGACACTACCGATAATGGTAATTAACACCTACGCTGACATGGCACTTGGTATGAGGCAGACAGTATCCTAAGCACGCCACATTTATTAGTATTTATTGTTTACGTATATGAAAAAATGATTAAGACGGGTAGATATTATCACTTATTGTACATCATTTCATTTATAGTGACTCATTGAATTCCCTCACAATCAGCCAACTAAGTAACCCTTATCCTCCCCATCCTCCAGATGAGCAAACAGATGGGGCACAGAGAAGTTGAGTCAATTGCCCAAGGTCACACAGCAAGAAGTGACAGCGTTGGGGAAAGGCACCCCTTTTACTAAAGCTTAGCCACACCGCTGGGAGCAGGGGACGCTTCCACACTGAAGGGTCAGGCCGAAGACCCAGCCAGCCAGCCATGTGGGGTATGAGGGTGACGTCCTCCATCCGGGGTAGGCAGGAGGTAGCAGGGCTACAGCATCAACCGCTGTAGGGCCTCTTTGAGTCTCCTCCTCAAAGGAACAGGGATCCAACCAACAGACCAGCGCGTGCTCTGGGGACTGGGGAGAGGGTACAAATCTGCAAGGTGACTGGGTCAGCTGAGGGGCTGTTTTCCAAGACCCCTGGATCAGAATCACATAGAGGGGAGCAGGCTGCCCAGCTCAGAGCTTTGCTCAGGCAGGTTCCATCCCCCTGAACTCCAGGAGGGAGGCAGGGCAGATCCAAACCCTGTCCCGAGCTGAGAACAGAGCTGTGGGGAGGGCCTGGGCCCCCTCCCAGGGCAGGGCTGCCCAGCACATCAGGCTGACTCTCGGAGCTCGTCGCAGCATGGGGCACAGGGCAGGGGTCGGGGAGGACACACAGATGCGGCCCTTATCCCCAGACAGCACACAGTCGCTTGCCTGCAGCTGTGCCGGCCTGAGGTTGAGTGGTGGCGACACAGCCCTGGGACGCACTTACAGTGTGACCACAGCTCTCTCGTGGCCCCCAGCTCGCCACACAATGTCCGAGATGGCCAAGGCCAGGCAGTGGGTTCTGCGGGTGTTTGAAGGCTGCAGCTGCCTGAGGACAAAAAAGGGAATGCGTTTATGCCCGTGGGGACACAAGCCAGGGACGGCGCAGCCCTGTGGCAGATGGCCCATCCTTTCCTCTGCCACCCAGAGAGGCTCCGTGGGAGCCTGGGAGGTACCTCCTCAGATGAAGACCAGGGGAGAGCCTTGAGGGAGGGGCCCTGGGCGGGGCTGGAGGAGGAGCAAAGGGGACTCGGAGACTTGGCAGGGCCCGAGGTGTGTGTAAGGGCTGAGCTCCAGAACTGCTGCCATCCTGAGGAAAGAAAGCCACCCTGATAAAGGCATGGCACTGCACTGCCCAGGCCTCGCCCAGTCCTGACACCCAGGCCCCTGGAGACAATGGCTCACGCCAGCAGGTGGCCAGAACCCCACCTGCCGTAAGGAAATAAGACCACAGGTGCAGAGGGGAAAGCAGCCTGACTCGCTGGTGACTTAGACGTCACAGGGCGTGGGGATGTGGGAGAGGAAGGATCTGGGGTGACCTCTGGGTATTTAGTGGGCACACAGTGGTGCCGCCGAGTAAAATGAATACAGGGNGACCCTTTCACAGGGGTCGCCTAAGACCATCAGAAAACAAAAAGATATTTACATTACGATTCATAACAGTAGCAAAATTGCAGTTATAGAGTAGCAACGAAAATAATTTTACGGTTGGGGGTCACCACAACATGAGGAACTGTATTAAGGGGTCGTGGCATTAGGGAGGTTGAGAACCGCTGCCTTAGGGAGTGACGAAGTTCTCTTAGTCTGTTTCCCCTCCTGACATGCCTACGGACTTCTGCCGTGGACTTGCACACTGTCTTGAAGAAGCCACGACACTTTCCCACTCCGCGTCCCCCTCCGCCGTGCCTGCAATGCCTGTCTACTTGCCAACTGCAAGGAAGTAACGGACACAGAAGCCCGTTGTAAGCCCTAACTCTCTGTAAGTGTGGAGAGCTGCTATTACTACTCGGGCCAGCCTTTTCCACCGTGGCTGGCACACCCTCAAGGGGACCTTAGCAGGAGCCCTGGCCGTGCCCTCCATGTGGACGGGTTAGGGGAGACGGCAGAAGGTGGGGAAATGACCTTCCCTCCCCCCTGGGCTTCTGGCCCTTGCCGGAACATGACTAAAGAATGGCACCAATACTCCATTCTGTTTTTAAAAAACATTTAAAAAATTATCTCATCAAATTCAAGCTGCCAAGACATGGGAGGCCACAGGGCCAGGCGCCTGCATTGAAAGGAGACATCAGGCAGGCAGTTGGGCTGGAAACCACGGTTAGGGTCCGGAGAAACGTCTGGTCTCGCTTGAGAAGAAGGGGCACTCCCCCCGCGCTGCTCTGACCTGGGGAAACCTGAGGCCGGGGCAGAGGCGCATTCCTCCCCACCCCCCTGCCCCCCGGGCCCCAGCTCACGGGGACCCAGCCAGACACGTTGCCCAGAGAGTGAGTAGTAATGAAAGCACAGCAAGGAGGCTATTTATTTTGGGCAGAGATGGTACAGTGTTCATTTCCAGGCCTGGCACGAGGAACCCCTCTTAGGCCCAGGCCATGAAAAATGAATTTGGTGAGGGTAGTGCTGAGGCAGCTCAGAGGCTTCCAGCAAAAACATAAATTAAACGGCAGGGAAAAACACGGCCTTCCACAGTGAGGAGGACCAAATGTTGACCGCCTGTACGCAGGGACCAGAGCCCGGTGACGGGGGAATCACTCTGAGCCCGGAGGCTGACAGAAAAAAGGCAGCTCTCTGCTCTGGCGCAGGCCCCACACCCTGAGCCTCCTTCGCAGTCACTGTCTTGCTTGGGCTTCACCAAAACCCTGGGGATACAGGCCAGGGGAAAGAGGGAAGACAAGGATGAAAAGACCTTGGTGCCAAGGGGCCTCCAGGGGCCATCATCAGGGGCAGTGACAAGCCTCAGAGCCTTGGGTCACGTGAGCAATCACCCCGCCCCACCCCCACCTCGCCCCCAGAAGCCTCAGTAGGCACTTCCCTCTGCTGGCCTCGGTGGCCCCACGATCTGCTTCACCTGACAGTGTGAACACAGGTGCCCTTGGCCTGGCCCTGGTCACGTTGCGCACTCGGATGTAATCAGGCTTTGCTCATCTCTCAGATGCACTGCTTCGTTGTCACAATGCTCTGTAAGTATTTATTAATAGGTTTCCTTCCTGCTTATTGAGAGCTCCTGGTACCTAATTTGGAAGACATTTTTCCCCATACATTCAAGTTTCTTCTTGAAGAACCACGGCTGGATGGTGAAGAGTGGGAAGTTATCTGTTAATTGGTCCAGCTTCCATTTTCCACTTGAGGCAACTGAAGCCCAGTGACTCTTCTGAGGCCACATGTGACCCAGGAATAAACCAAAGGAGGTCCCCGGGCCCCTTCTCCAGGCCCCCAAAGCTGCACTGGGCCAGGCGGGGGGTGCCCTGCGCTGGCAGACAGCCCACTGGGCTATGTCTATGGAGAACCAGAGAGAGTCAGGGACAAGCAGCATGTGATGGCCAGCCGGGGTCTCCCCACACCCAGGCCAGGACCCCCCCACACATCCGCACTCCTCCCACGTACCTCCCGGACAGGTCAGCTAGAGCAGCCAGTGCAGAAAGGCAGCGTCCTACGCTGGGCACCAGGGCCCAGCTCCGGGTCTCTCCTTGGGCTGTGCCAACCTGAGGCAACAGCTCTGGGTACCAGTGCCCCAAAGACAGCACACCTGCCTCCCATGGCCTCAGGGCACATCCCACTTTCCTACCCAAGGGGCCTCTGTGCTCTCAGGGCCGGGACACTTCCCAGTCTGTGCCGACCCTCAGCCTCCTCAGTGAAGTGTGCCAGGGAAGGGCACTGTGGCAGCAGGAGTGCCCAGCCTGCTCCCAGCCTCCAGGCTCACCACCAAATCCTCCAACGCCTTCTCTGGAGCCTAAAAGAGCCAAGCCCAGAGGCTGAAGGACAGGCAAAGAGGCGGTGGTGCCGGGGGTCAGCCTGCACCCCAGGAGGGCGTGGCTTAGAGCTCTCTCCTTCCTGACACATGACGACGGACGGGACGACAGAACTGTGAGGCTTTGCAGGTGGGGATCGCAGAGGCCATCAGTCTCCTGTCCTGGCTCACGCTGCACCCTCCCTCGGAAAGGCTCCCCTCTCTCATTTCTCTGTGTCTATAACTAACCTGTCCCAAGGCTGCCTTAAATAACCATGACAACGGTGATCACAATATATACGGAACGCTAACAACCCCGAGAACATGAGGCAGGGCACCCTGCACAGTGCTGAGACAGGCACTACAATTATCACCCACTCTGTGCAGATGGGGAAACCGAGGTACGGAGGGGTTAAGCAAGTTGCACACGGTCACAGAGCTGCTAAGGGAGTACCCGAAGCGCAAACCCAAGCCAATGGCTCCAGAAACCACGTTCTTTACCCCTGGAGCGTTCAACTCCATCCATCCTCCACAAAACCATGAGGCGACAGCCCCACTCTGACTGCCCTCTGCCCTTGACAGCTGCTCCCAGGACCTGGCTGAGCTCCGCCCCGTCTCACAGCCAAGAGTGGGTGCACGGATCTCCTCCAGCTGACGGGGTGCTCCAGAGGCCCTGCCTGGCCCCGCCCTGCCTCCGGGGACACCAAGGGAGGGCCTGTACAGAGCAGGGTCTCCATCGACGGTGCTCGGACCTCCAGCCCAGCCCAGAAACCCATGTTCTCATCAACTCTCCAGCTGCTGCTGGGCACCACTCACTCACAAAGGGTTCTTTGCTTCCAGAGGTGGCTGCCCACCTCAGACAGAAAGGCAAGCTCCCATAACCACAGTCTGTCAGCTGCTTCCCTTCACTCAGACCCCGCTCCATCCCAGCTCTGCTTTCTGCAGCCCCCTGTACCTTGTGGCCATGGCCAGCCCTCAAGGATGCAATGGCAGAGATTGGCTCCCTTTCCCCCAAGTCCACTCTTCTCCAGCCTAAACCACCGCCCTCAGCCACGGCGCCCAGGGCCAGCATGGGCTCCTCCCAGCCTCTCGGATACCCAAACCCCCAACCCCAGCTTGGGGGTGAGGGGAACAACTCCAGTTCACCAGCATCTGTTCCACAAACAAAGGAGAAGGCTTAACAATGCCCATCCCACAAACTAAACCATTGTTCATACCTGCTGGACGCTTTGTTGAAGGAAAGTCACCAGCTCCTCATAGCAGGTCAAAGTATGGAGCGTGAGCTGAGAAGACACAAACACACAGAGTGAGCTGCCCAAACCCTGTGGATGGCGCC